GCAGAAGCAAGAGAAGCAGCTCCACCCAGACCAGAAGCAGCATGTGCAGGACACAACTCTTCCCTAAGCGGGACTCCTCTTCATCTTCTGGATCACCATCTAAGATCGAGCCTCACACTTCCAGTGATCCACAGAAAGCTCCACATCCTGCAGGAACCACAAAGAGCCGAGTCACCAGACCTCTCAGTAGCTCCAGTTTGGATCACAAGCTTTCTCCAAGTAAAGAACGTGGAGTTAACGCGTTACAATTGGAGCTCCTACGTCTCCAAAGGTTGACATGTCACGCCCTAGATCCCTCAAAGCGGAATCCTCTTCATCTGCTGAATCTCCCGTACAGCAGCACTCCCGTCCACCAGCTCCCCGTCCCTCCTGCTGCATCCCCGCTCACCTCTGATGCAGAGAAACGGACTTCATCAAGTCCAAAACGAGACAGGACACCCCTAGGAAGTCCGGAAGAGGTGGAATTAAGAAGTTTTCACCTCTCTCCTTTGTCCAACCCTTCAGATCCATCCTCCTCTTCTCACAGATCCAAGAGACGGTCCAGCAGCAGTGACGTCACACGGGACCGTCTCAAAGGGACAGGACAGAAAGACGAGGAGGAAGTAAAAGCAGACATGGAGTGTACTAAAGAAAGGACAGGAGGGACAGGTGTAGGAGAATCCAGTCTCCAGCAGAGCCTCTTGGTCATGGACGAGCCTCCGATAGCGTTCAACGACTCCTGGGGTCTCGACGCCTGTGCAGAGGTCAATCCAGGTAATTTCAGTCTGAGGCTGGAAGACAGCAAAGGATTAAGCCCGCAGGAGATGTCCAAGCCTTCGTATGATGATGGGATTCAGACAACGTCCAACTGTGGAGGTCCAACTGTCCTTTCACATCAGAGTCCCCACCCAGAACCATCCAGTAGCAAACCGAAGCACACCGGATTCTCCTCGCCGCCTCATCCCAAAACTCACACCTCACCAGAGATCGACGCCGGACTTCTGGAATCCAAACTGTGGGACAGCTGGAATCAGGAGGAGGTGGAGGAATGTCCTCCCACTCAGCTCAGAACTCCAGGTGAGCAGCTTCACCTGAACCCCAGCGTGTTTGTTTACAGCATTAACAGATCATCACCTCAGAGTTCTAACGTCAGCAAGTTCTAGCAAGTTCATCAGGAACTCGTGTAACAACAGCTTTATGACACAATCAGTACAGTGGTCTCTGAGAGTTTGATAATAAGCTCACACACACGGTCTCTCACTCTCACACACATAAGACAGCAGTAACTCGGGAGGTAGAGCGGGTTGTTCAGTAATCAGAAGGTTGCAGGTTTGATCCCGGCTCCAACCAGAGAATTCTGCTGTTGTGTCCTTGGGCAAGACACTCAACCCGCCTTGCCTGCTGGTGGTGACCGATGGCGCCAGCGTGTGAATTCCTCACTGTGTTGTGAAGTGCCTTGGGGGGTCGTAGAACCCTACAAATACAGGCAATTTCCCACACACACACACACACACACACACACACACACGCACGCGTTTAGACAGGAGGTGAATAGCTGCGTTCTTTAGGAGTCTGAGACATAAAACTTTTGTATAATTATTTTACTCTAAAAGTGAATGTTTTAATAATCACTTAAATGGTGAGTTTCACTATTTTTGATATTACTTGTTTAAAGCATGACCGGTCATCATTTAAAGGGAAAGTTCATAAAACTCAGTCAAACTCAGACAATTATTACATTTAAGAGTTTTTTTTTGTATTTTTAGCTCCGCCCCAGGATAAAACGCCCCACCCCATGGAGCCCATCACTCCCATGCCTCACTTCTCAGACATGGACACCCCAGAGCTGAAGAACAAACTCAACAGGTGAGTGGCTAGGAACCGATCAGACTTCCTCCCACTGTGTCTCTGTCTGCATCACAAACCGTGTCCCCGTGCAGGTTCGGGGTTCGGCCGTTACCGAAGCGTCAGATGATCCTGAAGCTCAAGCAGATCCACCAGTACACCCACCAGGTGACCAGCTCTGACTCAGAGGACGAGGCACCGCCTCCCAGACGGTCCATCTCCACCAATCAGATGGAACAGTTCAAAGAACCTAGAGCTCCTGCTGCCACGTCCCCTGGGAAAGACAAGTGTGGGGACGGCGAGCTGCTTTCTGCCTCTCAGGGCTCAAATACCTCGTCAACTGCCACCAGTGAGGAATCTGAAAGGTTTGTGAGTCAACACAGAACGCAACTCAGAATTCATTACCAACGTTTTATAACCAAACAGCTTTTTCCTGATCAGGTCCAACCCAGAGCAGGTCCTCTCTTCTGATGGCGACTCGGACAGCGACGGCGGCATCTCGTCCTCCCAGGCGGCGTCCCGCCTCCAGGATCGTATCCAGGCCGTGCGCTCCTTCATCCTGTCCACCCCCAAGATCTTCAACCAGATCCTCCAGTACGAGCCTCTCGTCCTGTCCCAGTTTCAGGCGGAGCTCAAGGCGGCGGGGATCCGCCTGGGCGCCGCCAAGCTGATGGACTACCTGGACTCTCAGTGCATCACCTTCACCACAGCCAAGCTAGGCCAGCCTGGGACCAGCAGGGGGGGCCGGGGGGGCAAAAGGATGGGCAAGGGGGCGGGAGGAGCAGGCAGGAAGAAAAACGGTGCTGTAAAACTTTAACGGGATTTCAGGTGGATTAGGATTATTTTTAAATTATGAGTTAAGTCTTAAAAACATCTTTAAATCAGGTAAATGTGTTTCAGGGATGTTTGTGTTTCACTGTTAAAATAGTGTATCATCTAGGCAGCAAAATAAAGAAAATCACTGTTTTTGAAAAACATTTACTTCTTTATAAGCTTTACATCCAAAGCTGTGAGCACTTAATTACAGACGAGAGAAAACCAGTCTGACAGCTCCTCGTACGTCGTTCACGGACAGAGATGTCCTTAAACGCAGCGCAGGACCAAATCTGTCAAAGTTCAGTCGGGTCGCTGCCGCTGCTCTCCAGTAGGATGAGCTTGTGTCGCGCGTTCCGATTTCTCTACAGCATCCAGTCACATCCCAAAATTACGCACAGCGGGATGAATCCCAGAGACGAGCCCCGCCTCTTTTCCACCGTCAGCACGAGCGCCGGTACGGGACTTCCTGTCTCTTAGGACAGGTTGGCAATGTTGGCGAGGAAGCGCTGGGCCCACCACTCCTCCAGATCGATAGGCACAAAGTCTACATGAAGGAGAAATAAAGAAGGATTCAAGTTAAATAGATAAAAGCAGATTTATGACGATACTTAAGTCATAATTTAGACCCGTTTAAATTTAATCTGTCGGTATGAAAACAGCTTGTAAACAGAAGACTGAACCTAATCCTAATTTAAAATCAACCTTGGATTGACCAGAATCACCCTGTCCATTTCACAAAATGCCATGGATGTTTGTAAATGAGTGATGTCATTAAACTGGGTGTGACAGATGAGAGATTAAATCTGAGACGAGACTCCAGTCAGAGCTGGATTAGCTGGAACCGTCAGGTTAAACATTAAATCAGACGATTACAACAACTGCAGATAAAAGGAAACTGGCCGATACGAAGCTCTAGATGAAAGGCTTCTGTGGGATTATAATAAATATAAAGTGAGATTAAAGATTCAGAGTTCAGCGGGTTAGGATTACCGGTTAGGGTCTGTTAATTATAAAAGTTTATTCTTACTTTTCATGACAGCACTGGGAGTCTTCTCCGTGTACTGGACCGGTGCGGGCTCTCCTCGGTCTCTGTCCTCCAGCTTCTGCTCCACCTCCTGCCATACTGTAAACACACACACACACACACACACACACACACACCGTCAACATCTGATCATATGCAACAAATAGGTTTAAATTCCCTTTCATGATTTGTCTTTTTACACAAAACAGTAAATAAATAAATTACCCCACCCACCCGGGAAGGGCAGGCAATAGTGTGTGTGTGTGTAAATATCACTATTCGTGAATTGTCTGTCCCATTATTATCATTTTATTAATTCTTTTATATTTTTCTCGTATTTTAATCCTGATTTAATTTTCACTTTCATATCTTTTTGTAGCACACAAAAAAATTAATACTTGATTAATTGAGGCTATTTTTCAGCAAAAACCTCCCATCTCTGAAAATGGAACTTTTCCTAAAATAAAAACAATACATAAAAAAATGTAACTGTGTAGTGTCATGTCAAAATAAGCAGTAAAAATTAGGAATGTTAAAATAAACGTGGAAATTAATAAAGGAGCAATAATTATTTCCACATTCATTTAAATATCAGCATTTGCAATTTACATTTTCATTTCCTCACTTATATATTTTTCCATTTTGGCAGGAAGAGTGCTCCATACTAATGAGCTCACTGACATTTGATGAAACAGGTATCTGATGAAACCACTGATGATGCAAAAAATGACCAATGCAGCTGAGAAAGATTAAGATTGAATATTTTTGAAAATGTTTTCACCGATACAAAATTCTAAGACAGCAATGAAGCCTCGTTTTTAGTCATTTTATTTTAGTCTAAAAAGAATTTGGTATCTAGAACAAAAATCCATTACTTAAAATAAGATGAATATTCTTAAATATGATCACATTTTTTTGCTTTGAGTTGAAATAAAAAAATCTGTCAATGCTAGTTATAAGAATTCTAGCCAAGCAATTTTTGCTTACCCCATTGGCAGATTTATTTTTACACAAAAAGAACATTTAGATCATATTTAAGAATATTTGCCTTATTTTAAGTAATGCTATTTTTCTAGATAAGAATTTTTCTCTTTTTAGACTAAAAATACAACACAATGCGAGTTGCACATGCTGCTGTGTGCCGACTCCACCAACTTCCTGACCTTTAGACAACATTTCAGCCACTTATTTAATGTAAATCTGCCGTGCACACAGAACAGGTGCAGGTAAAGCTGGAATATCTCTGCAGGAGGGATGAACGATATCTTAGAATAGTCTTTGCAGGTAAACTCTGCAGCCAGATTACAGAAGACTTCCTGGCTTTAGGCCCAAAAGTAACACAAAGCTGCTGATTTAGCAATCAGTTATTCATTTCCATTGCGGCACTTTGAGTTAACGATTATACTGGGTAAAGAAGTTATGTTTTAGTGGAAAGGAGAAAACTCTCCTGCTAAAGCTCTTGTGGCTCTGGCTCGAAAATCCTCAACTCGATTTGCTTCTAGATCCAAACGTGGATGAAGCAAAAGTGCCCAAAGCTCCTTGTAAGATGAAGGAAAAGTAATAAAACCAGAATCTGTCTTCTCCATCCACAGAAGTGATTTAAAAGAAAAACATTATCTAAAACCCCACAGTCTGACCTTTAAACCTAAGATTAGATCAGAACATGTGACCCATGGATCCCATCCCCCATTCATAGATCCTCACCTTCATACACAAATCTGACGTTCTCCTCGTGTGCAGGAGTGAATCCCTCTGCAGGGCCCTCAGTCTTCTGCGTGGCTGTCCCGTTGTGACGCTTCCCATTCAGACGGTTGAACACAATCTTTGGGGCTGGAGAGCTGCTGAGAACAAACAAAACAAAGGACCATTAAATCTCTGCTTTCCTCAGAAATGCAACCCACAGGGTTACAGCGAGTCTGCAGAATTAAAGGTTTACTTTGTAGCAAAATCAACCAGGTGTGGCTGCACTGAGGTGCACTTTCAGCAGACACTTCATGTTCTTTCACCAAACCAGTCACGCGGCAACACGAAAGGCTGTGACCAGTACACTATCTGCTTTAGTTTCTCCATAAACTAATACATTTATCATGCAACTCTCATTGGGATTATTCCCTGAAGTAAACACCTGCAGCAGGTGGGATTTACTGGCTTGCAGTCCGTGAACGCACCACCACGTGTGGGCACAAACCAGCACATAAATAACCTTCAAGTTTGACCTGAGAAATAGCTGCGTCCGATAATGGATGCACGCCACGCTGAGAGCGTTCCGTCAGCTCACAACTTGTCCACGTGCGCAGTATTTTGGGTCTCGCGCAGCAATATAATTAAATGACAAATAAAAGCCACACATGGCCACTTACTTAGCCGTGAGCCAAGACGTCGGCTTGAGCTTTAAGTCGCTGAATTTGCTCTCGACCTGCTGAGTGGGACCTGAAAACAAATCAAGAGTTAAATAAAATGTTTAATGATGTTCCTGAAAGTTTTCACTATAAACTCTGCAGGCTGACGCAACCGAAGTTCTCCTGACGTCCGTTTGCGTTCGGTTGCTTCACGCTTTAGGGAACACCGGAACCTCACCTGTCCTCCGTTGCGTAACCAGTTTGCTGGGACCTCTGGTGATTGTGTACATCATGCGATGTCAGAGTCCGAAAGGAAACCTTTGTGTTGATTAAAATCCGGATCCGAACATTGACTCCTGACTAAGAACTTCCAGTCGTTTCTGTCTGACGCAGTAGCTTTCTCGGCCCGGGGTCAGCTGCTCCAGAGTCGGCCTGAAACTTGCACGAGACTCGGTGTGACGTGTGTGTGCTTTAAAACGCTCCGGACCAGCAGGTGTTCCGATGAGACGAACCCGCGGGTTCTGCTGGACGTGGCGTGTAGGTCATTCAAGGAGAACGCAGGTCCACATGCCGGGGATCATGCAGAGGAGGCGGCGTGAACACTTCCTGATACCCGGAGATAGCGACACTCTGGACCGGACTCTGTGATGTCGGCACCGCTGGAGCTCCGAACCGGACTACAAAGCGAACTCTCTGTCACAGATCACAAGGACAACGCTCCCTTTATTTTCATAAGGACAAATAGGTAACCTGCTGAGACGCTCTCAAGGTACGCATCGTGAATAATACAATTTCCGGTTATGGATTTCAAAATAAAACTCTTGGCTATTTCATTGCCAAATCCTTTGAATACAGATCTTATTATTCCACTTGTGCGTTTTAGTAAAATTACACACTTAAAATTTGCAAATATACAAACACATTTAGTAATGTGGAAATAGTGATCCTAACTAGGTGTGCCACCAGGGATTTATGGCCTCAAAATCTTTATTTTCAGTCAAGTTTTAATTATATATTTTTATTCATTAAAATTAAGAAATAAAAAAAATTGAGCCACTTTTTAGTCATGTGCCCTTAAGGCCCATTTCCACTATTAGGAGGTCCAGGTAATTTACCGGAACTTTGTGGCGTGTCTGCATCTCACCAGCTCAAAAGGACCGTCATCTGGGAAAGAGGCATTTCCCAGGGACCTGAACTGAGGTACTCACAGAAGGCCCAGTAGAGCCACTGGGTGGGACTTGTGTTTCACTTGGGCTGTAACTCAATGGCAATAGACACCGGCAGACTTCACCAAACAACCAGAATGGGTACATTTGGAAAAGTTGCTGGTGAAGCGAAATGTAATGAAAAAAACAAATAAACGTGTTGACATAGCTTTAAAATTGCTGTTTCTAAACTCCCAATGCTGAAAATGTGACAGAAATTCCACAACGCCATAATTTACAATGCTTTGTGGTCTCCTAACGTAAAAAATGGCACATCTTCTGGTAACTGAGTGTTGTGTATTATGTCACACAGCTGCTCTCCCCATACACTGAATTTACACTACGGTATACGGAATAAATCTTATTGATGTCACCCATACTTCATCTGCCAGTTTTGTTTTCCCACACTAATGAGGGCTAAATGTCTCAGAATCAGCTCAGGTCATAATGGTTATTCATGTTTATCCTGAGCTTGGACACTAAACTTCTTAAGGTATTCATTTCCCCCAAATATCCTTTCACTCATGGTTGATGCATTAAATTTTCATCTTCATCATGGAGTCTGAGTGTTAATCCTTCCAAGGGTCTTTTAAAATCAAATGCTGTAGCAAATTTCAACGTAGTTTGACTTTTACCTCAATGGTAATTTGTCACTACAACTTAACTACCTCCTAAACTTTGTATATCTTTTTCAGCCTGGTTTAAGAACATCAAGTAAGAACATAACATATTTTATGATGATCATACCGTATTTGTACAAAACAAAAATAAATAATTCCATATTTAAATACTGTGGATTGGTCGACTCCCATTGACTTAGGACTAAGGCTTTTATATTGAAGTTGTGACGGATTCGTTTCCGCCCTCGTTGTGTCTGTTTACCTCTGGTTGGCCGGCTGGTTTACACCCCCAGTAGTGACGCTCCTGACCACGCCCCCGGACCGGGCTTGGTGGGATGGACTAAGGGTTCAACCTTTCCCCTACTAAACCACTTTGCTGGCATTCAAACTTAAACGTTTCTGCACCCTGAGGGATTGATTATTTAAGTATTACTTAATTTTAGCTATTAATTATTACACAAATATTTAAGTCTGTCTCAAGTATCCTTCCCTTTGAGACGTAAGAGTCGTTAGCATAGGTAAGGTCTATTGTTCAGGTGAAAAATCACCTGAGTGGGAGCCAAGAGGCTGCATTTAGCTACCAAAGATCAGTCGGGCAAAGAAGCAGCTCAGACAGGCTTATCTGGGGTGATATCTAATACTACGCCTCCTACTAACCCCCTCATTCATCTGCACCGTCTGGGCCAGTCACCTGAGTCTGATGAAGAGAGAAAAACGCATCAAAACATATAAATGACATTTCTGTCCAAATGAGACATCCAGTCACACAAAATCACATTTTTTTTATTATCAGCGTAATCATTTCTGCAATCTAACTACCGATTCACCAAAAGCGTTCAATTCCTAAAATCTGTTTACATCATGCTTTTACTTAAAGTGCAAAATAAAGCTGACATTCAGTATTTAAAAAGCATTAAAACAGTTTTAACTAATTCCTCTAAACATTTACCACAGCTGCACTCCAGTTAAGTAGTGCCCTTGTGGCCTAGTTATCTTGTAGACCACATTATTAGTTGTTAGTTATATTTGTAATTATGCCATTTTTCATTGGCAGAGAAAAAGTTTTGTTCAGCACCACCATTTTTAAAACTTTAAACCTTCACTCTTCCCTTTTCTTACATCAATATGATTAGAGGACGACCACAAGCAGGAAAACGGTGAATGAAATTAGGAAAATAACAACAAATATCAAATAAATGATATTTAAGAGACAGAAGTCAATCAATATGAAGATAAAAAGGAAATTTTTATGTTGATTTCCAAATATATGTACTCTTAATGCAACTATTATTAAAATTACTTTCTATGTTTTATTTTAGGTATTTTTTGGTCATTATATTGTTCTCACTAAAAAAGTTGATAAATTTCAGGCATTCACAAAAAAAAGTAAAAACAAAATATAGAAAATTAAATGATAAAAAAGATTTTTCCTTTCTTCAATAAAGCAAACAGAAAACCCAAATACTCACAAGTTTGGCCAAAGTTAAACAAAATACTTTTCAAATTTTATGGAATTATCTAAAACATTTCATTTCATCATTTTAGGATAAAAATCTGGCTTTATAATTTATAAAAAATTATCTAGAGTTTATAGAAATAAAATAATTCCAGTTAATTTAAAACACACGTAACTTAATGAAACAAGATCATGAAAATAAATGCACAAATAGTGTGTTTATTTTTTGTCTTTAGTACTTTTTTTTGTGCATATTTTGACCTTTTGATTAACTTTTTAAATCTTTCTACTCCTTTTCTGTTACTTTTATGCCCCTCCCAACTGAGGCTGGGCTACAGCAAAGCCAAAAGCACACGGTTAGTGTATTAAACCTATAAATCTCAGGTTTATATTTAGGTTTCCTATACATGTAACCCACAATTATGTTGACTGAATTATTATAAAACACTCATATGACTATAAAAACCTTTACCGGTAGTTGTTATTATACTTTAAGACAGAGAAACCCTGCAGCCATGAAAAGTTAAATAAATATAAAAGTAAAAGCAGCAAAAATCAAATTAAACATTTAAATCCTGAGTTGTTGAGAACGGGCTTCAGTAAAAACGCAGTCACCAGCTAGTTGTTTCAGATAAGATAAGATAAGATGACCTTTATTAGTCCCACAAGTGGGAAATTTGTTTCGTTTACAGCCAAGTAAAAGCAAAGTAAAAGTAAAAGTTATGCTGCAGAGGGAGAAAAACACTAAAATACAATAAGACCGATCGCAATGAGATAAAATAAACTCAATACAATAGACATTTTATACCTTAAGAATGGGTTAAAAAATAATAACCATACTAGATACAGCTAGAAATACAGAGTACACTTCATCCAACAGATTTGTTGTAAAGTCTGACAGCAGTGGGGAGGAAAGACCTCCGGAATCTCTCTGTCCCACACCTTGGGTGCCGCAGTCTCCCACTAAAGGAGCTGCTCATAGCTGTCAAAGTCACCTGCATGGGATGGGAGATATTGTCCAACATGGATGACAGTTTAGCTGTCATTCTCCTGTCACTCACCACCTCCACAGGGTCCAGGGGGCATCCTAGAACAGAACTGGCCCTGCGGATCAGTCTGTTCAGTCTCTGCGGTTTCTATTCTGGCTATGAGAAAAAAAAAGTTTTAAAATGCTTAAGCAAAACATTTCTGGATTTTCTGAACCTCTGCTAGATTTTTAAAGTGATAAAAACATGAAACTGATTTTTGATGATTTGAAGACGTCAGAAAGGTTGATTTTCTAAATTCTAGACTGTTTAAGATAAAGAAAGTTCTGACTGTTTAACACAAAGGAGCCTTTTTTTCCCCCCAGTTTGTAATTAAATGGTCATAAATACCTTTAACTGGTAGTTTAAACAGTGGAAAATGCGAACATTACAAGAATCTTGGACTCCAGAGGACTTGGATGGATTTCAAGACATAAATATGAAAGCATAAACAAAGCTTTCACATTCTGGTTTTCTGTTATCTTTAGCTTTTAAATAAAGAAGTAGGAACAAACTGTGCAACATATTAAAAACCTGTAAGACAACATGACAAAGTAGTTCTTTGTAAATTGTTCAAACCTTCCATTTATCAACTTTTACGCTTAAAGGTGCATTATGTAAAAATGAATAAAAATCACATGCTGTGGTAAAATTTAGTTACTGCAACCACTTTAAACAACTGAAGCTTTTGTTGGCGCTGCAGTATTAGCTCGCAGGGGACACGGCAACCCGACACAAACTGGTGGTAAACAGTAGTTAAGTCCTTCCTTCCTTTATTTTGAAAGGAGAAAAACTGACAATCCCCACAGCCAGCTGGAAATATGTTTCAGTATAACCTTCCTTCCAAATTGACTGAAACATTACTCTTTTGGGATTTTCTCACTGTAAAATACTCACTATATTCTTACATACTGCACCTTTAAACAAGTCTCTGTACATGGTGATCAAGGCTCAGCTCATCTCATCCCTACAGATTATTTAATCTCTCTATGAGAACAATAAGGCTGTTTATTATCTGGATCATAAAATATTTACTACTTATTTATAGAAGTAACTAAAGATTTGATTTGAAGTTTTTGTCGATTTTTTTTTCAGGAACTAAATTTGAATCATAATAAAATTATGAGACGTGATCATTTTTGTACAGTGGAAATAAAACCAGCTAAAGAACAACTAAAACAACCTTCTGGAAGTCCAGAGAACTGTCGCTGGAGACAAATCAAGAAATAATTACAACTTTTTATTTGTTAGAAGAAAAGTCATGAAAGAAGGGATGACTTGAGACTTTTACACATAAACAGATATAACATAAACTAATTTCAGCGTCTAACTGCTAATATTTGGCCCCTTTGCATTAAATCTAAAGGTTTGAAATGTTTTTCTCCAGGAAAAACTCAAATATAAACATAAAAATTGTGCCTCAGCATAAAAAGTCTCCTGAACTGTTGACTTTCTATGATGTAACAGATATCTGAGGAGTGGTGAGTAAAAATGTCTTTATTATGTTTATAATAAACGTGTGTGTGTGTGTGTGTGTGTTTCTCAGTAGTGCGGTTCACAGTCTTCCACCAGGCTGTCGGTGATGTAGCTGATGTGTAGCAGCTCCTGGTAATACGCCTTCTCCACTTTTGTGTTGGTGGTCCAAACTACAAGCTCCACCCCCCGCTGGGCCCAGTACTGAATGTAGTCCCTGCAGACAGCACACGGGTAACAACTCCATGAAGAAGCACATGGAAACATGAAAGCCTAGACTAGAACACCTCGCAGGGGTTTTCTCACTCACTGGGACACAAAGTTCTTCTGTACCAGGAACGCCGATACGCCACAGAGCCTCCACAGCACGTGATGGTGCGCCCAGTCCAACATGATGTCCATCAGCGTCACCCAGTGATGTTTCCATGCCGATGAGAAACGCGGGACACCGTCTCCAAGACGACTCAGGCTCCAGGGTCTGTGGGTCAACGCGGTGACCACTTCAGGGTCGCTCTGCCTCATCTGGTTGGAAAGATGCGGGAATAAAAGTGCAGCAACAGTCAAAATGGGAATACTGGCAAACATTTAGTTTCCGCTGGTTGGCTTGGGCGGCTCCTGTTAGCAGGTTAACGAGTACAAGTTTGGTCCTCATGGCAGATGTAAGAAAGCCTCTGGAATTTTTAACAGGACGAATTTTGCCTTTTGGGAAATTTTTAGGCATATTAGGGGCAGCAGTAGCTCAACAGGTCGAGCGGGTTGTCCAGTAATCGGAAGGTTGCAGGTTCCGGACAGAGAATTCTGCTGTTGTGTCCTTGGGCAAGACACTTAACCCACCCTGCCTGCTGGTGGTGGTCGGAGGGACCGGTGCTCAGCAGCCTCGCCTCTGTCAGCGCGCCCCAGGGCAGCTGTGGCTACGTCGTAGCTCATCACCACCAGTGTGTGAATGTGTGTGTGAATGGGTGAATGACACACTGTAGTGTAAAGCGCTTTGGAGTCCTTACTCTGAGAGGTGCTATACAAGTGTGGGTCATTTATCATAAAAAGCCCAGATGACCCAGGCTTGGAGGATGAAGGTTCTCTTTTGTGGAGGAGCTGCGCTGCTGTTTGAGGAGACAACACTTTTTAGTTTCCCAAGTACTGGAGCACCATCTGCCTCCCTGTCAGCCTCTGCATGTGCTTACAGCTAAAGCTGATAACGTGGCTCTAATGCCCCTTTCCCAACAGCATGACTCGTATGGGTCCGGTCTGGTTGGACAGCTTCTTCCAACAGCACAGGTCGGTATTTTCCCCCTAGTACTTGCTTTGATGTGGTCACTGATTGGCTATGGGGTGGAGTCACTGACTGTTCCAGAGCTTTCCGTACGACGCCTCACTGCCTGCAGCCATCTCCTGGTTCAGAGTCTGACAAGAAACCAACGACTGAGCAGAAAGCTCAACATCACCGCCATTTTTGTGCTGTGCTGCGTTTACAAATCATTTCACAAAGTTCACTGATCCCCTCAGCCTCCTGCTACTTTTGTCTCGGGCACGGTTCTGCTCAGAAGCACATCAGGACAACTCAGATCAATAATGAACACGTATTAAACAAGTTGGGTTGTGCATTTGTTTTAATTTTCCTTTGGATAATTATATTATTTATAGTCTATAAATGGTATTTATCATGTTTCAAATAATCAGTTTAATAAATTATAAAGAGCTCAGCGAGTTTTTAGTGAAGGCCTTTCAAAATAAAGCTTTATCAAACTTCAATGCAAAAAATCATATCAGTTCATGCCTCATCTACAGGATTCACAGCTGCTTTTAAACACACACACACACACACACACTCTTACCCTGTAAATGACTTTGGGTTCGAAGGAACAGACGATGCTGCTGTTGTAGAGAACCGGATATTTCTGATACAAGTCTTTAAGAGCTGCAGCTGCCTGTGTGGGAACAACAAAGCACACAACTATAGAGGGTCAGTTTGCGGTGTGTGTGTGTGTGTGTGTGTGTGTTTGCACCCATCCAATAGCTGCGTGGGATCAGACACACTGCTGTGGGCCACTGACCTCTAGAAGATCAGTGACAAGAAAAACAACAGAAACTGATGAAACCACAGCTTTCTTAAGTAAGTACTCCTTAAAATGTGTTGAGCTGCAAATATCTGAAAACTTAAACAATTAAAACACAACGCAACACAGACTCTTAATTAAAGAGTAAAATGTTGCCTGTGCCTCTGTTTGTGACCACTCAACACAAAAGTGAAACGGTGCAAGCGTGGAAACAGCTAATTAAGAGCTGTGTTGAATTTGATCATACACAATGTCTGTAAATCTGCAGGTCATGAAGCATGTGGCAAAGGATTATTTCACTGCTAATTAGTCTAACTTGAATTTAAAGTGTGGAGAGTTAAAAATGACTAATAAGACATCTTGTTGCAGTTATTTTTAAACCAGTAGCACATAAGTAAGTTTATTTGAGCTTTGTTTTCTCTACCTGGTCCGGATGACCTTTGACATCAAAATAGATGGTGAGCTGCAGTCTGATGCATTCCTCCACTGCTTCCTGTAGAGTTGGGATCTTCTCACCTTCAAACTTGTTCCTAGTGATGAAGGAATAAGAGTGACACTCACTTGGAGAGCAAACTTATTTTAAAGGAAATCTGTTTTTATTTATTGCAGAATAAATTAAAAGGAAGCAGGCTTCTGCATTATGGTTCTTTTTTTCTGACACAGCACAAACCGCAACGCAGTAGGATAAAACACGCATTATGAACGTACAAGAGGAAGTAGGCTTTGCTAACTCAGCAATTTGCTGTTTCTCACCTGAGCCGATGTTTTGCAGCTGCATCCAGCTTCCTGAGCTCTGAAAATTTGATCTGGCTGAGACGTCCCGACCCATTGGTGGTCCGATCCACAGTCTCATCGTGCATCAGTATTGGGACCCCATCAGCGGAGAACTCCAGGTCTAACTCCACACCAGTTGCACCATTCTTACTGGCCTGCAGGTAAAAGCATTGGAGAACCAAGTCACCGTGAGCCAAAAAAGTAGATGCATTAAAATATCACATTATAAACATTTTGACGTGTGTCGTACACACTTTGGTTTAGTTCATTTGAAAATAAGCACGTTTAGATTTCAATCTCCTTAAATGGTTAGATAGTGCAAATGTAACCTGGGAGAGCTGTATCACACTGTGTGTGTGTGTGTGAGTGTGTGTAAATTGTGTGGGTGCAGCACTGGGCCGATTGGGGGAAGCTCAAGTCATCGTCACTACCTTCATACATGTTGGTTTGGTGAAGACAATTCAACTTCCCCCTGGATTTGAACTGGTCTCCCTGCCCTGTTTTGTAGGCACAACCTGCACAGACCGAGCTTTTATTTGGACTTTTAGCTTTTGCAATCTTTAATAAATTATCTATTTTTGAAGCGATCCGATTCTGTGCTTCATTGCCCACATTAATGCTGGTTGGTCAGACTCACTTCATGTAACATCTTGGGGGCTGATCTGCGGGTGTTACACAAATGTGTATTAAAGTGGAGGTATTACATTTTTAATCAATGACTAACTAAATCTCGCCATTAGAAGAAACAGCCGCTCTAGGTCGTGTGAAGGTTAACGGTTTAACGTCTTCCCTCCCCAGTGTCCCTTCTCACCTCCCGTATGGCTGCTATTGTGTTCTCCGGTGCGTCGTGTCCTCCGCCCCGGTGAGCGATCACAGACACCTTACCGCTGCCCACTGCACGGGAGTCTGGATGCAACACCTGCCGGGCTCGGCTGGTCGTCACCTGCGGGAACCGAAACATGGCTAGAAAGAAGTAGAGGGAAGCGGTGAGGACAGCCGACCACACCGGACTCCGCGTCCCCAGCAGGACCACCACGAGGACAAGTGAGTAGAGGGTGACTTCATCTCCCAGCTGAAGCATTGTAGACGACTTCTTGGGTTCACGAGCGCAGATTTTCTTCAGTTTGACATTTTCTTTCCTGTTAAGCTATTTTTCTTGGTTAAAAACGCGATGTTTCACACACATCCATGCTCCGTGTTATATTCTGACAGCAGCTATTAAGTGGAGCATTAAACCACATCTAAGCCGGAGAAAGCTAGAAACTGCTAGGACGGTTGAGCCGCTGAACGACCAAACGGGAGGACAACATTTCAGGTGGCACGTCGTAACGGCTGTGACCGGATGTTACGTAAAACAGGCGCGACCTTTGTCAAAGTAAACCAATAAAACTAACTCGTTATTTCACGAATCACACATTCAATGACATTTATTCTTCTACACTAAAACAACTGTAAATCCCACTTTGCTGGAGAACATATCTCGGAGGCTTGAAATATATTTCATTAAGTGGGGAAAACATTTTTCGACGGACCGAAACACATCTCGGCGCATCCCCGGATGTGGTTCTAAATAGGTTCGCTACATGCCGTTTGCAGCTCTTATTCAGTGTGAACAATTTCATACATTTTTTAAATTAAAATGTATACTTTACTAATGTTTCTAATGTGAGGAGAGTAAACGAGATCTTTAGGAACACACGGTTGTAACATCCGGGTCACAAAGCTGGACGTCTTCATGCCAAAAGTGGACTTGGGACTATTTTTGACTTTACCTGTGAATTAACCAGTCGTTGGCCATGGTGAGCATCATAGTGAGACTATTAATATTACTGTTATTACAGTGTTATCAAATTCAAAGGAATTGGTGGATCAAATAGATCAAACAATCCTACCCGCGAAATGCCCTTGAGCTTGATTTGATTCAGCTAGGAGATTAATTTGACCTCATTCTGAATAAGGGTTAACAGTTTTAATGTAAAACAGATCGAGACTTTATTCTGCTGTTAATATTTGGCTCAATTAGGTGACTGCATATTGCCTGACTGAATGTCGTATTTAATGTTTTTTTTCCCCCACAGATCAGGTCGATGTTGCTGAGCAGATTAACCCACCACACCCTGTCCTGCACAAGAGGATCATGTTTACTCTCTGGACGAGTGTCTAATGGTTTACAGTCTCATTTTTCAGGTCATACACCCATCCATCAGACCTCCCATGGACCCCTCACTCCTAAAATCACAACCTCCGTCAGATACTCAGACCTATCCACGCAGAAATTCTCTATGATTTACACGCTGCCACACATTAAGCTTCTCAGAGTCGTGTCCAGGCTCAAACTGCTCCAAACTGCAATCACTGCGGTCATCATTCCACCCATGTATTTCCTTTACTTCCAGGGTGACGTGTCCTTCTTTCTAGTATGCTACTCTACGGGGATTGCACTGTTTGCTGGTGTCATGCTGTATACTATGAGTCACTTCTTTAGAAGGGTTGTGGGGATGATGTACCTGGATCCATCCCAGACCACACTCAAAGTTTCTCACCTCACTTTTTGGGGCAAGCGTCAAGACACCTACCTACCCGTGTCAGACGTTTTGACCATCTGGGACACAGGAGACATGGAGAATGAGACCATACTGAAACTGAAGAGATACAGTAGTCCAGAGACAATGTATTTTTCTACTTATTACGGACGCGTTGTTGACAAGCAGGGCTTTGAGAGAGTGTTTGGGAGGCTAAAATAATTCTTCATTCAAAATGTGATCAACTAAATCACTGCTTTCAAGTATTGTAATAAGATCCAACAAATATACAAAAATATCCTGTTTTGAAATAAATGATTCAATTTCAATGTTTTCATTTCTTGATTTAAATAAATGTGACTAATGAGTGTCTGACTCTAGCCTCTTTACCTGGCCAGGTGAGTCGGACAGGTAAATGTTTTGATGTGTTTAATATCTGATGGCTCTGCAGAGTGGATCTATTCCCTTTACTGTTGATCTTATTGGTCCATTAGAGGTCTGAATGTGGTCATAAAACCCCCCTGGAGTTTTAGAGGAATCCTGCAGTTGAGTTTTCTTCCAACCTGATCATCCTGCATGGAAATGTGACTATTGATAAATTTTATTTGGAAAATCTATAATTTTTTGGGTTTCTTAATAGAATTCTATATGTTACAGATAAAAAAACTAATATTGTGAAGCAGACTGATTATGGTCTCGTACACAAGTTATAAAAAATTTAAGTTGACAAATTACAAATATCAGAGACACTGCAGTGAGGCATTTTCAATTAAAACATTTTCAGCTATTTGTAACATACATCTTTAGACAAAAACATCTAATCAGTTCTTCCAATAAACATTCAAATAATTACAAGATAAAATCCATGCATTTGAGTTTCCTGTATAGGAAATTTTCTCCAAACTCATCAGAAACACTTTTCCATTGCAACTCAGTCAAAAAAATAAAGCAAAATTATGCTGCAGATTTAAAATGCACTGGTAATAAGCTTTTATCAAACACGAGGGTCAATTATTTCCTGTTTCTCATATCATCTTGTATGTTGTTAAAACCTTTTGGCAGGCCTTTGGAGCATTTAGTGATTATACCAAGAGTCAGTAGATCCCATAGAAACAAAATAGCCAAAAGAGAATAAGAGCTAACAGCAAGAAATGTCCAGGGAAAATTACTAAAATGAAACAAAACTTTTGCATCTTTAGTAAATGAGACAAAATCCACCAAGAGATATAAATGAGAATGTTTGAAAAGATGGTTAACTGACAGAATTTTAAAACAAAACAACCCCTGAAAACCAACTGTTACAAATTTACAAAATAGCTACAATGAAGGTCAAGACAGCAGAAAAGTGACAATAAATGTTCAAATTAAATTACAAACGAAAAAAAAATAGAACTGAAAGATAAAAATGACTAAAGATGTTTGGAATTTTATGGATTTAAACACAAAAAAGATCTGAAGATTGAATTAAATAAATGATAAAGAGGTGTAAACATAATTGTAAATGTATAATCATCGAATATGTGTTGTGTTTATTTTACAATTAATGTTATGTTGCCAGGGCAACCATGCTTATAAAAACAATCAGTTGTAACTTGTAATTTTGACCACTAGGTGTCAGTGGTGTCACGTGACAAAAACACTTTTCAGGTCTGCTGACGTGTTGAGATTTATTTATCCTAAAACGTGAATAATTTGAGCACCAGTGGGCTTTTTCCAAGTTTAAACTTTTTCTTCTGATCATTAAAATAAAACCTGCAACAATTAAATTTTCTAGTATTCATCAGACATAAGATAGTTACAACTAATGCAACAATAAGAGCATGCAGCACTCCCGAGCCTGAACAATGCACAGGAAATGTATGATTTACATGTCAGTGTCATATTTTGTTAGTCTTATCCTCCTATTGCCTGATGTTTACATTTCTGCCATTTTAATCTACATATCAGTCTGAAACATTCAGCTTTTGTATCATTTTAGTCACACCCTTGATACAGAGCACTCTCTGTTCACTTATGGGGGTCCCAGAAGAACACTTGAAAAATACAAAGGAACAAAGGTGCTGCCCCCCCCCCCCCATCACACACACACACACACACACACACACACACACACGAACACACACACACACACACACACTGAAAGAGATTCTGGCAGCTCTAAGTACTTCTTTCATGTCTTGTCGCCCAGAGAGTTCTGTGCAGCAGAAGGAAAGCCCCACTTCTACTTGTTGCTGTCCTGCTCCAAAAGTCCCACCTCTGTTTGTTTTTGTCATTGTTAATAGCTCAGACATGCTTCCTATAATCAACAATATTGCATTGACCTCGACTCCATAGGTACATGAGTGTCTCTGCCTTTATATTCAATACAACTTCCTGTGTTTATGAATATTTTGGCTGCTTTTCTCTGATTCATTGGTCAATAACAATAAATAGGAAAGTGCCTGCAGCGTTCAGAACGAATGAGTAATACACGTAAGTATGGTGTGTGTTGTCAAAGAGGTTATATATATAACAGCACAGGCTGGAGCATATGAGTGGATAAATGTCATCGGTCCCTGGGGTTGATCAACCAGGAGCCATTAAATCACGCGTGTATCATATGGGTGGCTTGTTCCTGTACATTGTTTACAACATTCCAGATTCCTTTTGGCACTGGGTTTTGGATTTTATTACACAGAGGGGAAAACCTTCCTGTCTGTGAGGGATTTCCGTTTATTTTTTAATACAGAAAAAAGGCTCAGGCTGAATGCATCCACAGCTCTAGGTTGGGTTCAGATTTCAGACTATACTGGATCAGCATCAACATCATCAAACCTGATATTATAAGATTTTGTATTTCTTCAAAATGTAAAGAACTGTACTCTACCAATCTCCCATATGTGAACAGATGAACTATTATTAACTGCAAATTGCTAAAATAATTCCTTGTTGTGACAAATTCTTACCAGCTTAAAGACATCTAGACAGGTTTAGAAGTATAAGTAGACGTTCTCTCAGGTTTTGAATGAAATAAAATCATCACATTTCCTGCACATATCAAAGCAAATGGAATAAAATGTTTTATGAAGGCCTGTAGAAGCAATTTCGTTGGCTCTAAATATAGAATGAAAACATCTGAGAAAAGTTAACTCATCTGCTTCCTCTAAGCATCTTAAATGCTCTTGAGGAAATGCTTTGCGTTACAAAATGTAAAATATATAGATATATCTTGCCACTTTATTTTGGCATTACTGGTGTTAATTTGTCGACATAGTTATGTTCTAATGTAACAGTGATCTATCACCTGCACCTCTGCCCTACTGGTTGAAAGGGGAATTACAACTGTTGTAAACAACTCTGCAGCAGTCTGCTGTAGCTAGTGCTAACACTAACATGAGCCAACTAAAACTACAAAGTAAAATGTTGGACAAAAATATCACTTACAAGTCCAGTAGCAACAAAGCCAGGTCATCATCAGTCTGTGATTTTTAGTCTTCTTTAGCTCCCTCAAACTAGGCCGCTCCAATGTTTAGCTCTTTGCCTCGCCTCAAAAAACATTACTCTCTTACTTTTACTTTCAGGATCCGCCATGATGCCAACAGAAAAGGCAAACTTCTAATTTTCTTCTTCTTGTGGTTTTTATTAATAATCGGCAAACAAAACTGCTAATTGCTAGCATTGCAGCTAACAGCCATAAAGCAGTCTGTGAAGAGCACCTCCTAGAACACCGAGCCGCTCCACAAAACTATCAAGTGCAGAGTTTGGTCAGCAGAGGGCTGCAGAGTGATGTCATATATAAAACTGGTCAAGTTTCCAACGCAACAATCACTTACATCAATGTTAAAGTTCTAGCTTAAAGTTTTTTAAAAAAATCAGTTTTTACTTTAATGACAAAAATAGTTCAGCTATTACATTTTCTTTGGAATTTTTATTTCAAAATCTAATTTCCTTCTTGATCAATAAAGTTTTATTTATTTGAAAACATTATCCATGCTGGAAAACAATATTTCAAGATTTTTGAAACCAAACCAACATTTTCTTTGACAGGGATGCCTATTTATGATCAATGTTTATAGAAGTTTGTGGTTAAAGACGATTTTTTAAGTCAATGTTAAAAAAAAAAAGAAAAAAGTTTAAAAATACGTAACTGGGGGTCTGCAGCTAAATGTGTTTAAAGCCATACCATGGAACTTTTTCATATTTTTAAATAATTTTCTTGAGCCAGTATGTGCTAAAATGACTCTTTACATGGTTAATGAATACCGCACTTGCAACTTCTGTCTGGCAGGCCGCCATCTGTTGGACTGAGAAAAAACCTAGCCGACATTCTGCAGTCTGCTTCCAGCATGTTTTCTGTATGTTTTAGATCATGAGCACAACTGATTTCTTACATTTATTGATGAATCGCTCCTGTAGAAACTAATGAAGGCTGGGGGACAGCTGTTAGATTAAGGTGTGAAAAAGACAAACGCACAGCGAGGAGATACTTTCACTTTTGATTCTACCAAACGGACACTAGGGGGTGCTGAAAGCAAACCAAAACTGCCAAGTGTGCCTTTAATAAGAAAATGTTGCTCTTTTTTTACTTATTTGGTGACAAAATTGAAAAAGCATTTAACTTTATTCCTGTAGCTGCCTCGTTACCTTCAAGTATGTTGATTCTACATCGGGGAGACTTTCATAATGTGCAAATTTTCAGTGCAGTCACAAAAAAACACACACACACACATGCATAGTTTGATTTTGATCTAAATCATGGAAAGCAAACATACCATACTCTATAAAAATGAGTTTTGTTACTACTGGAGATTAGATAAGCATCAGTAAAAGACTATCCGTAATGTTCGACAAGCCAACACAAATACCCAAATTTGTCTTCTCACCTCTGTAGCCATGTAACATAATTATTATGTGAGAAGCTAGCAGCCAAAACTGATTTACATCCATAGAAAGTGGAAAGATTTGCTTCTCTTGTGGTTTTCAGGGGTGGCTGCATGAACACTGGTACCATAAATCTTGGTGGCTGTGGTGGCCTGCAGTGAGTGTGTTTAACCTGGGATAAGGCTTATAATTGGAAACACTCCATGCATTTGCCTTCAGGAAACCGCCTGAGCCTCTGTGTGTGTGTGTGTGTGTGTGTGTGTGTGTGTGTGTGTGTGTGTGTGTGTGTGTGTGTGTGTGTGCTTGAAGCTGCAGACCAACAAAGAGAGGAAAGTGTATACATGGGGCAGGCATGTGGTGTGATCACAGTCTGCTTTTTGAAAGCTGTAATCACCTCTTTAGAATGTGCAGGTGGACGGAGGGCAGGATGGAGAGATCCTACCAGACAAAGTCATGACATAAGGCGAGTGAGTGGTCATTCTATTAGTGTGTGATTCAATCAGACATC